AAAAAAAAAAAAAAAAAGAGGCTCAACTTAAGTAAACCCAACTTTGGGAAGGTGGCACCTGGCCCACTCCCCAAACCAGCCCAAATTAGGGATTTTACAGCACTGACTACACAATAACAAGTCCATTTTTTAACTAGCCATCACTAAAGGCCAATCCCTTCTAATCCTCTCCTGGAGACAGCATGGACTGACTCTATTCAATAATATGTAGCACAGTGAAGGGGACACGCAAAAAGTCCTACTAGAATCACAGGAAAAATTGAAATTTTAATAATTGTACAACATATATGCTCATTTCTTTTATGAGACAGAGCCTCACTTCGTTGCCCCTGGTAGAGTACCATGGCATCATAGCTCACAGAAATCTCCAACTCTTGGGCTCAAGCAATTCTCTTGCCTCAGCCTCCCAAGTAGCTGGGACTACATGTGTCCGTCACAACACCCCACTAATTTCTTTTTTTTTTTAGAGACGGGGTCTCACTCTTGTTTAGGCTGGTCTGAAACTCACCTTGGCCTCCCAAAGTGCTAGGATTACAGGCATGAGCCACTCCATCTGGCCACATGATGGTGAGTGTTGATAGTTTTAGCTATGGTCAACTATGATGTCACCCTTGTCCACCAAGGGTGACAAAGTGAGACTCTATCTCAAGAAACAAAACAAAACCAGGGGGTGCCTGTGGCTCAGTGAGTAAGGTGCTGGCCCCATATACTGAGGGTGGCAGGTTCAAAGGTGGCCCTGCCAAACTGCAACAGAAACGACAACAGTAACAACAACAAAAGCCAGGCGCCTGTAGTCCCAGCTACTTGGGAGGCTGAGGCAAGAGGATAGCTTAAGCCCAAGAGTTTGAGGTTGCTGTGAGTTGTGATGCCACAGCACTCTACCGAGGGCCACAACTTGAGACTCTGTCTGAAAGATAAAAAAAAAAAAGCTGACTTGAGGACAAAATGAAAATTGCTCACATGCTTTTTTTTTCCTTTTCCTTTTCTTTTTTTTTAAAATAATATATACAAGGATTTTTATTTGTTTTTTGAGACAGAATCTCACTCTGTTGCCCTGGGGTTGAGTGCTTTGGTATCAACATAACTCATAGCAACCTCAAATTCTTAGGCTCAGGCGATCCTCATGCCTGAGATATACAAGTAGCTGGGAGTACAGGTTCCAGCCATCACATCTGGGCTAATTTTTCTTTTTTTCTTTTTTCTTTTTTTTTTTTTTGAGACAGAGCCGCAAGCTGTCCCCTTGGGTAGAGTGTCGTGGCATTACAGCTCACAGCAACCTCCGACTCCTGGGCTAAAGCGAGTCTCCTGCCTCCGCCTCCCAGGTAGCTGGGACCCCAGGCGCCCGCCACAACGCCCGGCCATTTTTTTTTGGTTGCAGCCGTCATTGTTGTTTGGCGGGTCCGGGCTGGGGATTCGAACCCGCCACCTTAGGTGTACGTGGCTGGCGCCTTAGCCGGTTGAGCTATAGACGCCGAGCCTAATTTTTCTATTTCTAATAGTGACAGGGTCTTACTCTTGTTCAGGCTGGTTTTGAACTTCTGAGCTCAAGCAATCCGCCTGTCTCAGTCTCACAGAATGCTAGGATTACAGGGGGTGTGCCACTGTACCCAGCCTTTTCACATCTTTAAAGCCATTATGCCCAATATGGCAGCTATAAATGTTATAAAGATAAAAGATAAAAGTTTGGGAAACAGGCAAATTTTATAAGTTCAGTAAATCATCTAGCAAAATATTAAAAATGCTAAAGTTGGGAAATAAATGACTCATGATTAAAAGAAATATTCCCATCTAAAAAGTCAAATGTATTTTTTATAAGAAACTTTCATTTAATCTCTATGCTTTTAACAGACTAAAAATTTTAAAAAATGCTAATATATACATATTTGCTGTTTTTTTCCCCCCTACTAAAAATCAAGTTTCTAAAATATTTCTGGCAAACACACACCCACTGAGAGTAAGAACTGGAATCCTGAAAGAGATCCAAGGGTACTGAGAAGTATAACCAGGATAAAAAGATCCCCATGGGCAGGGGACCTCTGAGAGGACAGAGGTATGTACACAGGGTCACCCACCTCCATCCATGTGCTTCAGAGCCTTCTCAGCTTCATCCGGATTCTCAAACTCTACATATGCATAGCCTTTGGAAAGATGAGGATGCATCCTTTCAACGGGCATGTCAATCATTTTAATTTTCCCATAGGTGGAAAATATCTCCATGATGTGATCCT